GCAAGCTAGAAACAGATGAGCCAATGACCATAACCATGAGGATGTTTCCGAGTTACGAAAAACGCTACAAAAAAGCCGTAAGTCTTTTTTATTTTATTTTTTAATATGAAATTTGGTTTCTATTAATTTATTATTCTGAGTTTTTATGTAAGTTGCATAATTTTATATTTTTACTGGGATAAATTTTGTCTCCTCTTTCTATGATACAAATATGAAAACTTTGTGGGGCATATCCAACTGTTGGTAGGCCATTGGGTTGATTTCAAGACCGGCCAAAGGTATTGGAATAGATCTGAGGTTAACAAACTGAAAAGAGATAGATCTAAGGTTAAACTCATCTAATTTTGACTGTTGCTCAGTTATCGTGCAAAAGTCAAAATAAAATGAACTTAACCTNAGGTATGTCTCCTTTCAGCTTGTTACTTAGATAAGAGAACATAGTGAAGTTTCAAAAACCAAACTTCCTAAAAGTGTAAGCTTCCCAACATGATTATGTCCAAATAATAACACGACCCGCCACTATAATCTAATCACAAGCCAACTTAAGTATAATCCTTTTACAATTTTAGCATTGGTTAAGCTCAAAATGGAATACGACATAAACTTTCAACCGATTAAAGTAATCATATTTTGATGTTTTAATTATAAAGATAAAACTCGTGTCAAGATCTTATAAATATTCAAAAAACAAACAATAATAAATAGTATAATTTGTTTGGTTGCAAGTTGTTGCAACGATAAGACTGTTATCTCACAAAGGACCTACCTTTACCGACAATGTTCCAATAAGACGGATTCACTATAATCGGATCTTGCGTCCTAACACTATCTTCCGTTTTGTTTGGTAGTAATAAGTAATCCGATTTATATAATAGTTCTTATTGTGAGATAACCTCATCATATAAATCTTCTTTCCAGTAGAACTAAAGCGTTGCAATTAAAATGAAAGAATTATAAATACAAATAGAACCCGAAATAAACGAATTACGCCATACATTGAATCATTTTTACCACCAAACCACTACAATTACCAGTACTGTTTAGTTAATTCCTATATTTTCCTTCATATAATTTGCTTATTGGTTTTTTTTCTAACTTAAGCAATAAAACTCCATTGTTTCCGATTAGTTGAATTTAAAATTTCGAAAGTAAAAAAAAAAAAATTCCATAATTTTATTATAAGTTTTTGCCTTTATTTCAGCAACATATATCAGACTTTAAAATGAATTTATTCCAAATCTAATTTCTTCCATTGCTGTGTTGGAAAATACATAGTCCAGCTCCTATAAAGCTAAGGCCCAATTGTTACAAAAACGCCCAATCCCTTCCCCTTCTCCTTCTAGCTCACCTAGCGGGATCAAACCGGTTAACCGGCACGTGCCACGACAGTGATAGTTTCCACTAACTAACACCCGCACGTGACAAACTCAGAAAGTTCCCTGCTTAACCACCACGAGTGGATCCAACGACGTCGACCACATCTGATTCCCGCCCAAAAGCCGCGACACAATCTCGTTATCGGTGATGGCATCTACGTAATTAAACGGAAAATTGAGGGTATTATTAGTCAACCGACCGTTGCTCCACCTCATCGGCTCGCTCTCAGCCTCGCACGTGAATTCCGGTGACATCATTTGGTCCGAGCAGCTCGAGCCGCCGATCAATCTAGCCGCAGATTCCGGAGCCATTACTTGACACGTGTCATTCATCGGTTTCACATCATGTTCGATCTCGATCTTTCGCTTCTCGATGACACCTTTCTTGTTATATATACGACACAATACCCAATCGTCTAGCTGTTCAAATTCAACACGTCCGGTTAACAAAAACACGGTTTGAATTTAAAATTTCGGTTTGAAATGGTAAGTAACTTACCCTTAGACTGTTTTTCTTCCGAACCGATCGGTCAACGTCAGCTAACCGGTATTCGTGCATAATCCAATTGGTTTTCTCTCCTATAGGAGGTTTTCCGGAGTAAAACACTAGAGCCTTCTTAATACCAACCGGTTTAGGACGACCAATCGGTTTATCAGCACCTGTAGCTTTCCAATAACCAGTACCAGCTGCCCGGTTCGGTCTTGAACCGTTTGGGTATTTTCGATCCCTTGGTGAGAAAAAATACCATTCCTTCTCTCCGTACAAGGCCATGTCTGTAAATTGAAATATTTCCGTTGTTAATTCTTAAACCGGTTTTGTCTTTAACCGATGAATTAAAGAAAAGAAAAAACGTACCGGGAAGGTCCCAAGGATCGTATCGGTACAAATCGAGCTCGGTGATGATCGGAGCAGGGATCGGCTGCGACGCGCATTTACGGCATAGATACATGAGGACGAGTTCCTCGTCCGTTGGATGAAATCTAAATCCTGGTGGAAATTGCAAATCAGCCCCAGCTTTCATCATGATTCACTTTTTTTACCCCTTAATTTATTGTTCCTTGATTATAGGTTCCGAAATAACCAGAAAGATGTTTGAAACTTCTGAAGCAAAAGAAGAGAGATGAATATATAAGTCGAAAAGCGTGGACACGTGGCGGATAGAAAGGGGGTTTGTGTTGGTGGAATGGAATCTC